TGTCTTGTGTACCAGGCTGGCCTCTCTGCCTCCTGAGTGCTAAGATTAAGGTGTGCACTACATACCCAGTCATTAGGTATTTTAAGTAACTACTGAACGGTCCTCTTGCTCTTGGTATAACAAACAGATTAACAGTTAGTTACATGTGCATTGACTCCCAGAATTAGAAGTTCCCGAAAGTGGGAACCGAGTCAACTCTGACCTCGGCACCAGGTGGAGTACTCAGTCCCACGTGCACGCTGGTCTGAGAACTTTTCCTGTATTGATGTCTGCACCCTGTCCTTACAGTTGGGAGTTTCTAGTTCCCTAGGGCAGAGTGGAATTATGACATTTCTAAACACTTTGTGGGGGGCACGAGGGGGGGACATTTACTTGCACACGGTAGGCGAGCACTCTTCTCTGAGCAGTAGTCCCAAAACACAAAGCTGATCTGAAAGTAACAGAACAGCCTTCTACCACAGTGCGAGGATGTGGGGGCTCTGTTTTGTGGTGCTGGGAATTTAACCACTGGGCCACATGCCTGGCCTCTCTGTTAATAGAAATGTCTTTTTTCTTTTTTTAATGTGTCTTGGTGTCTTGCCTGTGTGTCTGTGCACTACAACATGTGTGTCTGGTGCCGGCGGAGGCCAGAAGAGGGAGTCAGATTCCCAGGAACTGGAGTTGCAGACAGATGTGAGCTGCCACATGGGTTCTGGGAATCACACCTGGGTCCCCTGGCAGAGCAGCCAGTGATCTTAACCGGGGAGCCACCTTGCCAGCCCCACCTCTTTCCCTGGCATAGAGCCTGTCAAGTAGGCGCTACTGCTGGCCAGGAAACCTCTGGAGTCTGTCTTTTCTGCCTCCACACACTGGATGGCAAGGACAGCCGCCACACCAGCTTTTCTGACATGGGCTTGGGAACTGAATTCATGTCTTGAGGACTTTCTGGCTGAGCTATGTGACGTGTGACCCCTACCCACCCTTTTATGAAACAGGATCTTGATCAGTTTCCTGGGTTGGCTCAGAACATTCTTCTGCCTCAGCTCCCATGTGCTAGGATTACAGGCGTGTACCACCACACCCCGCTTCCTTCTAAAGAGTTTTAAAGGGAGAATATGCACAAATATCAAATTCCCATAAGTACATTGATATAGCTCAATTAATTACTTAATTTCATAAATAAATATTAAAATAAAATAAAGAATATATACATATTAAAATAAAAGAAACATTATAAGCACCAAGACAGGAAAATAATGTAAAGGTTTTCTTACTTTCTTTGAAGATAGAGGTTTAGAAGCCAAGGAAAATCCTTCCAAAATTTTGCCAACATATCGAAGATCTCGCTCTGGTTCTATAAAATGATGTTACTGATTAATTCTAGAAGTTGAGGTGATTAGAGCAGACAAAAGGCTTCTTATCTTGCAGAGCATAAACAGTGCCCTGGGTGAGATCACGGGGAAGGAGCACTGAGGGACAGAATGGCATTCAAGCCCTCACGCTTCTGTTGACACAATGACTGGAGGCTCGCCCGCTGCCCTCCGCTGCCAAGACAGCACCCTCAGTGTCCTCAGAGCAAGGCCCTCAAAAGAACAGCTTCTGCACAGGCGCCACCACCACAGTGTCTCGCCCCACGGGGAGCCCAAGGACTCCGGCTTGAAACCTCTAAAAACACGGCTGGCATAAACCCATCAAGCCGTCCTTTCCCTCCCCACCAAGGAAAACGACCCTGTGTCCTTCTATGGAGTTAAAGTTCTCAGAAAAAAACATCTAGAGTGCAAAAAGGAAAAATCCTAACTGTGAGGGTCATTTCTCACACCAGTGCCCCAGGGTGGCTGTCTCCCAGTTTCCTTAGCAACAGCACAAATAAGGCTCCCAGGCAACACAATCAGGTCTGATGTGATCTCACCCTAGGACAAACTGTTGTCGCAAACGAAATGCTAACAGCAGATAAAGACCACAAACTAAGGAAGCAAGCAGAGTGACCAACGCCCTGGGACTGGGGCAAGGGACAGTCCACTGGCTGCGGACTACCCTGTAGCAAAGGCCCTCTGATTCACAAGATGACTCTGCAGAGTGGGTACACAGGAGATTCATTCCAGCCTCGTTCACTGCTGGAAGAAAAGAATCCTAAAAGTCAACAGTGGAGGTTGGGTGAATGAGGATATATTCACTCAGTCAAAAAACAGAGCACATGCAGTGCATATGTACAAATTAAAAAAGGAGAGACAAAATATCCCCAAACTCTTGTAGTCCGAACTGCAGGCTTTGTGGCCCTGGGAGCGGCTGAAGGAAACAGATGTGAAAGAGGAGCTTCCAGGCAGGACGATCCAGGAACTCAGGGAACTGCAGCTCGGGCTTCCTGGGGAGCCCAGCAGGACAAAGGCGCTATATTATAAGCATGAAGACTAGAATATACTACCAACTACTGAAGACAGAGAGTGGGCTAATTTGCATATTGGTTTTAGTTAATTTACATACTGGTTACTGATATAATTACAATAACTATTATCAATTTCATTCTATCAGTTTCTAGAGTATGCTCAATTAATTAGTATTTTACATTATTATATAATTAATTAACATATAACATATTATCAACGGCATATCAATACATTAGTTATATGCCAAATAATAAATCAGCACATAACTATTAATTATAATATAATACAATAACACTTATAATTACAACATGTGAAATTATATATCTTTTGGGCACGGGGATGGGAGGGTGCTGGGACTGAGCCGAGGGCTCTGTGCTGACTGACTCTATTAGATGCTCCCAATTCTCCATCCTGTCTACTTCCCTGCGCCATTTCTAGGCAGCAGGATCTGAATCACCACAGACTCCGGCTGGAGATTTCAGTTGTGTTGACAGACACTAATAATTATGATAATCACCTCTATAATTCTAGCACCTGGGAAGTGGAGGCAGGAAGAGCACAACTCTGGGACCAGCCTGGGCTACACTGCTGGACCGTAACTGAAAAGAAAAAAGGTAGGTGAGAGATGTCCATGTCTGATGCAGACAAGAGCCCTCTAAGAGCTCAGAGAGCAGGTTAGGCCCAGCTCAGGTGTGCTACAGACTGCTGGCCTGTCACTTGGTCGCCAAGCCTGGCCTTCTGATCTGCTGTTTAAGTTGGCTGCAGTTGCAAGCTGCCAGTTCCCTGAACTCTGAGTCCTCACTGCTGTCTGAGCACAACGCTGCACCAGTCCCTGGGCCCAGGCTGACCAGCTCCCCAGTACACCCCCACTTCACTGCTGGCTTAACTGTGGCTTAAACACCAACTCTTTCTTATATCCTATACACTGCAGGCCAGGTAGGTCTAGACTTCACTGTGAGACTCAGGCAATCCTCCTGCCTCAGCTTTCCAAGTGCTAGAATTACAAGAGCAAGCTACTATACCAGCTTTCAAAGTTTTTCACCCTGCATATTTTTAAATTATTAATTTTTAATTGATGTGTGTGGGTGTTTTGCCAAAATATATGTATGTATACCATGAGTGTGCCTGGTGCCTCCCAAGAGACCCCCTGGAACTGGACTCCCAGGTGTCTGTGAGCCATTATGTGGGTGCTAGGAACCAAATCCAGGTTCTCTGCGAGAGCAGCCAGTGCCCTAACTACCGAGCCAACACTCGGGCCCCACATCCTATATCTTCGATAACTTCTACTCCAGAGTCCAGCAGCCCAGTACCAGAGCCTGCACCCCCGTGTCCTGAGAGCCCGACAATGGGTCCTACAGTCCAGCTGCCAGGATTACCTTTCTGACTTTTGTACTGTTTGGGAGCTGTCCATCCATAGAGGCCATCTCCAGGCTCCTCATCCTTCAACACAGTATCATACTTGGACAGAGTTTCCGTGGCGTAGATGTCATCATCTTCCTCTTCCAGGGCGCCTACACCAAAAGCCTACAAAACATGAGGTTTCAACCAGAGCTCGCAGGCTGTAGGGTCTGTCTGCACCGCAGGATGAAACTGCATTAAGGACAGACAGGACCCTGGAGACCACACGAACACTGCCACACCACTGAGAGAGACGCGAGCAGAAAGCCCAGGTTAGAGGAGCCTCGGGTCTATGGGAAGGCAATGACCAGAAGCGAATGCCGCAGGCACAATCCTCCAGCCATAGCATTAGCCACTAGCACAAGCACGGGCAGAGACGTGAAGAACACGCACACAGCCCTGAATAGGCAGAAATGGGCTCTGAAAGGAGAAAGGTAGACAAGTCTGTCTCTCTCTGGTCAGCATGGTCAAGGTCTGAAGACAGGGTGGGGAACAGCCTGAGCAAGCTCATTTTTTGCTAGAAGAATAAAGAAGGTATGCAAAGAAGAAAAGGCAGTGAAACAAAATAACTAACCCTTTTTGAGATAATATCTCGCTATGTAGCCCTAGCTGGCCTGGACTACACAGATTCACCTGCCTCTGCCTCCCAAGTATACAAAGTAAAGGCTTGTGCCACCACACTGACCCATTCCCTTTTAAGGGAGAACCTGTGAATCCATTTGAGAAGGTGAGCAAGTTAAAGCTCCTATCTTTGCAAAAGTAACACAACCTCCAAGTCAAAGAGACTCGGGGAGTGAAGCAGCAGAAGAGGCTGGCTCAGAACTGAGCAGCTGTATTCGTCTGCTGGGCCATCTTGCGGCCCCAGATTGCAATTAGACTAAAGCAGAGCATTGGAAAGGTCTTTTCTGCTTGGCCCCACACGGAGGGAAAAAACAGTCCTCCAGCTGGGAACATGGGTTTCCACCAGGAACACAGCACAGGGCACCATTATTAAAATTAGGATGGCATGGTGGGGGCTGGAGGGATGGCTCAGAGGTTAAGAGCACTGACTGCCCTTCCACAGTTCAATTCCCAACAATCACATGGTGGCTCACAACCATCTGTAACTCCAGTTCCAGGGGATTCAATGCCCACATGCTGGCAAAACACAAAATAAATCTAAAAAATGTTTTTCTTAAGTGAGGTTTAGTGGAGTGGATACAGTTTTTACTGATGTAAACACAGGCTAATCCAACTTACCCTGGATAAGGGTCAGGGACATTAAACCTCTTACACAGAAGCTTGTCGGGGTGCCACTCAAAAGTGTCTCGGGTGAGCTTCCCAAACATCTTCATCTTCACAGCTGACTGCTTGTCACTGACGTCATTCTAGGAAGAGATGGACAGTCTGTTTGATGTAGTCAGAGCCTTCCGTGTTAGAAATATCCGCAGGTAAGATAACAGTACTCTTGCAGAGGACCCAAGTCCCATTCCTAACACTAAGTCCAGCAGATGACAACCACTCCAGCTCCAGGGCATCCAAACCCTGTCCTGACCTCCACAGGCAACTGCACTCACGTGCAAATACTCACATGTACAGACACACATATATGAAGATAATTTTTTTTTAAGTCGGGGTTTCTCTGTGTAGCCCTGGTTGCCCTAGAACTCAATCTATAGACCAGGCTGGCCTCGAACTCACAGAGATCCACCTGCCTCTGTCTCCTGAGTGCTGGGATTAAAGGCGTGCGCCACCACAGCCCAGTTGAAGAATTTTTAAAAGCCAGTAAAAATAAATCTTAAAAATGTATGTCAGGAGACAGAGATAGGTAGATCTCTGAGTATGAAGCAGACTTGTTTACATAGCAAGTTCCAAGCTAGCCTGGTCTATATAGCAAGACCATGTCTCAAACACAAACAAATAAGAAAAGGTCAGAGCTAGAGAGACGGCTCAGTAATTAAGAACACTGGCTGCTCTTCCAGAAGACCCAAGTTTGATTCCTAGCACCAGGATGGTTCAACCATCTGGAACTATACTTCAGGGAATCTAACACTGTCTAGCCTCTAAGGGCACCAGGCATGCATGTGGAACAGAGAAATACACGAAGACAAAACACTCATACATATAAAATTATATGTGTGTATACATATATAGATATAAAATCACTAAATTTCATACCATTGTACTTACCAAAAATAAATAAATAAATAAACTTGAACTATCAAAGAGTTTGGGTTGCTACACTGCTTTATATCTCATAAGCTAAACATCAAATCATTTCTTACTCTACTATGCTATGTGCATTTTTCTCTTTTCACTGATTTAAATTATTTAGGTGCATGGTGTTTTTAATTTTAAAATTACTAGGAGGGGCTGCAGAGATGGCTAAGTCAGAAGAGCTTGCCACATAAGCATGAGGGAGCGAGTTCACACCCCCAGAATCCATGTAAAGGCTGGGTACAAGAGCCTGTATCCAGAATCCAGCCCTGGGCAGGGGAGACAGGTGGGCCCCTGCAGCCTACTGGCTAGGCTCCCCAGCTCAATCAATGAGCTCCTAGTTCAGAGCCTGCCTCAAAAAAACAAGGTGAAAGGTGAAGCCAGATATGGTGGCTCACAACTGTAATCTCAGCAATTGGAAGGCCGCGGCAGGACGAACAGGAATTCTAGGCCAGCTGGCCTATATGAGACCCTGTCACAGAAAACTACATGAATTACAGAGTAATTGAGAAAGACATTTCAATGCTGACCTTAGGCTTCTACATGCACACATATGCACATATACACATACACATATACATCAAATTACCTAAGACACACTTGCCCATCCACATAAAATTACATACACAAATTAAAACTGACTAGAGAGTTGGGAAGGTAGCCTGGTGTTAGACTGTGGACATACCACGAATGCAAGCCTGGGTTCAATTCAATTCCTACAACCGCAAAAACACAAAATAAAATTCACCAGGTAGGCACAAGATGGTGACAGACCTCTTGGTCTCGAGGAACTTCAACCTGATCAGAGTCGTCTTCCTCCTTGGCATGAGTGAACCTGGAGGACAGGGTGGAGTGGGAGGACACGTAGAGCTGGGCTGCCCGAGCAAACTCCTCCCGCTCGCGGCTTCGCTCCCACTCCGTCATGCTGGGGTCCAGGCATCGATCCAGAGCATCTGTGTATGGGGAATGAGGCACCATTTTACTCCCGGGAAAATACGGTGTCTGAGGGACAGCATCGGGTGGACACCATTGTGCTGTGCACTTCCTCGGGGGAAAATGTCCTGACTCTTGTTGGAGACAGAGTGCACTGGGAGCTACCTACAGGCAGTATGACCCTGTCCTTCATAAGATGCTCCTCTTTTTTCAGGTTCATCTTACTATCCGCGTATGAATGTTTTGCCTACAAGCATGTTTGTGCACCGTGTGTGCCTGTTGGATCCTATGGACCTAGAGTTATGGGTGGTTATAACTGCCTTGTGGGTGCTGGGAATCAAATTTGGGTCCTCTGCAAGAGTAGCCATGCTCTTAACTGCTGAGCAATCTCTCCAGCCCCGATTCAGTAAGACATTTTTATTGACTTCTACCTATTAATGGCACAGAGAGATCTAGAAAACCGATGCTTGATTGAGGACACTGGTCCATCCAACTACGCCTGTGCTTGTGGAGAAAACCTTATCCTTTTTCTGTAATTTTGTTTTGTTTCGTCTTTTACTGAAACAAGAACTTGTTACATAGCTGGGGCCAGTCTTGAACTCCTGATCCTGCTGCCACAGACACCCCAGTGCTGGGGTTATAGGCTTAACTCTGTTTCTACCACGTGTTTGCTTTTCGGGGTCAAATGTGAGGGCCCAAAACTTTTACACTGTTTGTACCAAGGCGAGCAAAGCCGATGACTGATCAGGGAGTTTCAACTCTCAGTCTGTGACCAGGAGGAACACAGAGAGGCTGTCACCCCAGCCAGGCCAGCACCCACCTTTCTGACCCTTCTTCATGTGTACTAAGAACTCTTCATATCGCCTCTGCTTTTCTGGCTCTTTGGCAAAAGGCTTGAAGTTGCTGGCTCTGGTGGGGGCTGCCCCACTGCCCGGGGCCAGGTGCCATGGGCTAGCTGCGAGGTCCGGTGTGGAGGCCTGTGCTCTGCTGATTGAAGCGCTCTGGGCCAGACTCCGGGCCTTGGCTTGAGCTGCCTTCAGGTCAGTCGCCTGTTTCATTTCTTTAATTCTTTCTTTGTCTTTTTGGGATAGAAACTCCAACACTGAAGTAGCTGACCCTGGATAAAAAAATAACAAGAGACGAAAAACAGATTTACCTCCTGTTGTACACAGTCACTATCAAGATGTACATAATCAGAGATGAGTGATTTTTTTGTTTTGTTTTGTTTTTTAAAGATTTTATTTATTATGTATACAATACAGTGTGCTACCTCCATGTATGATTGCATGCCAGAAGAGGGCACAGATCTTATTGTAGATGGTTGTGAGCCACCATGTGGTTGCTGGGAATTGAACTCAGGACCTCTGGAAGAAAAGTCAGTATCCTTAACCTCTGAGCCATCTCTCCAGATCCAGAGATGAGTGTTTATGCTTACTATTTCGTCAATATTTATATATCCCTCTGGACTATATATTCGCATAATGGGGCAGTTGACAAAAATGCAGGTGGCCATGGGTACAACTGAGACAGAGCAAATGCCTAGACAATCAAAGCCCTGTGTTCTATGCCCAGGACGAGGACTCTGAACCACAGGTGGCTATGGTCATGCTCCCACAGTCCTCGCCCTGAGCACTCATACCACAAAAGCTCACTGCGCACCAACTCCCCAGACACTGGCCCAGGGCCTGGGGGACGAAGCAGGTGAGGTCCTTCCTCTCACTCAAGCTAAAGAGCACCCTGCTGTGGAAAAACAGTGATAGTTCATACCTGTAATCCTGGAATTTGGGGGGCTAAAGCGGGATTATCATGAATTCAAGGCCAACCTGAGCTACAGACTAAGGCCTTGTGTCTAAATAAATGAACAGGCTGGTAAGATGGCTCAGTGGAACGATCTGAGTTCAGTTCCCAGGACCCACACGGTGAAAGGAGAGAACTGATTCTTACAAGGTGTCCTTTGACTTCCATACAGGCATGGTGGCATGCACACACATAGGCACACACACACACACATACAGTAAAGGTGCCAGGCATGGTGATATGGACACACACATAGACACATACACAGACACACACACACAGATAGAGTAAAGGTGTCAGGCATGGTGATACAGACACACACACAGACACACAGACACACACACACAGATAGAGTAAAGGTGTCAGGCATGGTGATAGAACAAAACAAAGAATCTAGACTAGTGGAGGGTCTACATGTGAGACCATTTTCAAAAAAAAAAAAAAAACAAAGAAAACAAGAAGGGGGGGGCGCCAGGCGCAGTGTGGCACAGGCCTTTAATCTCAGCACTCGAGAGGCAGAAGCAGGAGACCCTCTTATGAGTTTAAAGCCAGCCTGATTTACACAGCGATTTCTAGGACTGCCTAGAGAGACCCATAAAGTCTCAAAAAAAGAAACAAACAAATATAAAGAGGGGTGGAGAGATGGCTTAGTAGGTGCTGCTCTTATAGATACTTGATACGCATATCAAGCAGCTCAGACCACCTATAACTCTAGCTCCAGGAATCCAACACCCTTTCTGACTTCCACAGGTACTGACATGAATGCGCACACACATACACACATATACATATAAATAAATTTTCATAAAACTTAAACAATTTTTTTTTTAAAGAAAACAACTCGAGTGGCACACTTCTGTAATCTCAGCAGTGTGTGACAGAGGTTGATGTGGGATTCCCCTCTGTATGCTGTGAATATGTTTTATTACCATTGGCTAATAAAGAAGCTGCTTTGGGCCTATGGCAGTGCAGAATAGAACAAGAAGGGAATTCCAAGTAGAGATAGAGGAAATAAGAAGGTGGAGTCAAGGAGATGCCATGTAGCTGCCGAAGGAGACAGACACTGGAACCTTACTGGTAAACCACAGCCTCGTGGCAATACATAAAATAATAGAAATGGGTTATTTTAAGATGTAAGGGTTAGTAAGTAAGAAGCCTAAGCTAATAGGCCAAACAGTGTTGCAATTAATACAGTTTCTGTGTGATTATTTCCGATCCGGGCGGCCAGGAAATGAACAAGCAACCTCTGCCTACACAGAGGTGGCAGAACCAGAAGCTCAAAACCATTCTTGGCTACATGAGATCTTAAAAAAAAAAAAAAAAAAAAAAAAAAAANCAGTTCCCTGAACTCTGAGTCCTCACTGCTGTCTGAGCACAACGCTGCACCAGTCCCTGGGCCCAGGCTGACCAGCTCCCCAGTACACCCCCACTTCACTGCTGGCTTAACTGTGGCTTAAACACCAACTCTTTCTTATATCCTATACACTGCAGGCCAGGTAGGTCTAGACTTCACTGTGAGACTCAGGCAATCCTCCTGCCTCAGCTTTCCAAGTGCTAGAATTACAAGAGCAAGCTACTATACCAGCTTTCAAAGTTTTTCACCCTGCATATTTTTAAATTATTAATTTTTAATTGATGTGTGTGGGTGTTTTGCCAAAATATATGTATGTATACCATGAGTGTGCCTGGTGCCTCCCAAGAGACCCCCTGGAACTGGACTCCCAGGTGTCTGTGAGCCATTATGTGGGTGCTAGGAACCAAATCCAGGTTCTCTGCGAGAGCAGCCAGTGCCCTAACTACCGAGCCAACACTCGGGCCCCACATCCTATATCTTCGATAACTTCTACTCCAGAGTCCAGCAGCCCAGTACCAGAGCCTGCACCCCCGTGTCCTGAGAGCCCGACAATGGGTCCTACAGTCCAGCTGCCAGGATTACCTTTCTGACTTTTGTACTGTTTGGGAGCTGTCCATCCATAGAGGCCATCTCCAGGCTCCTCATCCTTCAACACAGTATCATACTTGGACAGAGTTTCCGTGGCGTAGATGTCATCATCTTCCTCTTCCAGGGCGCCTACACCAAAAGCCTACAAAACATGAGGTTTCAACCAGAGCTCGCAGGCTGTAGGGTCTGTCTGCACCGCAGGATGAAACTGCATTAAGGACAGACAGGACCCTGGAGACCACACGAACACTGCCACACCACTGAGAGAGACGCGAGCAGAAAGCCCAGGTTAGAGGAGCCTCGGGTCTATGGGAAGGCAATGACCAGAAGCGAATGCCGCAGGCACAATCCTCCAGCCATAGCATTAGCCACTAGCACAAGCACGGGCAGAGACGTGAAGAACACGCACACAGCCCTGAATAGGCAGAAATGGGCTCTGAAAGGAGAAAGGTAGACATGTCTGTCTCTCTCTGGTCAGCATGGTCAAGGTCTGAAGACAGGGTGGGGAACAGCCTGAGCAAGCTCATTTTTTGCTAGAAGAATAAAGAAGGTATGCAAAGAAGAAAAGGCAGTGAAACAAAATAACTAACCCTTTTTGAGATAATATCTCGCTATGTAGCCCTAGCTGGCCTGGACTACACAGATTCACCTGCCTCTGCCTCCCAAGTATACAAAGTAAAGGCTTGTGCCACCACACTGACCCATTCCCTTTTAAGGGAGAACCTGTGAATCCATTTGAGAAGGTGAGCAAGTTAAAGCTCCTATCTTTGCAAAAGTAACACAACCTCCAAGTCAAAGAGACTCGGGGCGTGAAGCAGCAGAAGAGGCTGGCTCAGAACTGAGCAGCTGTATTCGTCTGCTGGGCCATCTTGCGGCCCCAGATTGCAATTAGACTAAAGCAGAGCATTGGAAAGGTCTTTTCTGCTTGGCCCCACACGGAGGGAAAAAACAGTCCTCCAGCTGGGAACATGGGTTTCCACCAGGAACACAGCACAGGGCACCATTATTAAAATTAGGATGGCATGGTGGGGGCTGGAGGGATGGCTCAGAGGTTAAGAGCACTGATTGCCCTTCCACAGTTCAATTCCCAACAATCACATGGTGGCTCACAACCCCTTTTCTGGCGTGCAAGGCATACATGCAGGCAGAACACTGTATATATAATAAATAAATCTTTAAAAAACAAAAAAGCAAAAGAAGAACTGGGAAGATAAACATCACAGGTGGCCAGGAAGGACCTCCAAGGAAGTAGAAGGGGCTGGGCATATGGCTCAGTGAAAGAGTTCCTGCCTAGTGCACATGAGGCCCTGAGTTCCGGCACCAGTCTTGAAACAGAAATAAACAGAGAAGTACAGAGAGAGAGAGAGAAAGAGGGGTATGGGGAGGAGAGGACAAAGTGCTTACTATGGGGATGACCGAAGATGGGAAGTGTATTTAGTTCTCAGTGTTCCTGTTGTACAATATAGAAACCTTTACCTGGCCAGAAATTCCCAATTTTCTTCCTTTACTCAGGCCGACATCTTCAAGAAGATGGCTGGTCCCCTCAGATGCTCCACCAAAAAGATTCAGATGTTCTCCTGGCCTTCCGAACAGTGCTTGGCGGGGGTCCAGGCCCTTGTAGGCCAGCCCGTGTACATTATCTTTAGGGGTAAAATCCACAGGCATGACGTCTTTAGGAGCAAAAGTCACATTGTCAGGCAGGTAGTCATCATCTTCGTCCTGTTCACGTGTGTGAGGAGGAATTACGGTGAGTCACTACAGGCGTCACGGCCTCAGAGTGCAGTGATTAACTCCAAACAGAACAGTCACCAAACTCAAGTTTCTGTTGCCAGGAATGATCAGATCCCAACCCTGAAGAAATGATACTAACAAAAGTAACGCCATGGTGAGACCCTAAATGGGCTGGAGAGATGGCTGACTGTTAAGAGCATGCATGCTCTTGCAGAGGACCAGAGTTCAGTGCCCAGCACCTGCATCAGGCTGCTCACAACTGCCTGTAGCTCAGGGGATCTGATGCCCTCTTCTGATGCTGGTCGGCACCTGCACACACACAGACTAGCAGGTATACACATACACTAAATAAAAAAAAAAAATTAAGAAAAGAATCTAAAACAAGGGGCAGGAATGTAGCTCAAAGGTAAGTTTCAAACCTCACCACAAGAAATAAGTAAGAGGGCTGGAGAGACGGCTCAGAGGTTAAGAGCACTGACTGCCCTTCCAGAGGTCCTGAGTTCAATTCCCAGCAACCACATGGTGGCTCACAACCATCTGTAATAAGATCTGATGCCCTCTTCTACAGGTGTACATGCAGGCAGAACACTGTACACATAATAAATAATAAAGAAAACTTTTAAAAAAAAAAGAAAGAAGTAAGAACAAGGCATGGAGGTGCATAACTTTAACCCCAGCACTCGGGAGGCAGAGGCAGGTGGGTCTCTGTGAGCTCAAGGCCAGCCTGGTCTACAGAATGAGTTCCAGGACAGCTAGGGCTACACAGTGAGACCTTGTCTCAATCAACCAAACAATAAATAATAAGAGTCGGGAATCTATGGTGCTAGCAAGTTGCTAACTGTATTGCTGACATATAATGACAGCTTTAAGGTATGGATATTTCATGATAGTGGAATCTAACAGATTTCTAAAATTGCTTATGACCTTGTTATTTATTTATCTATTTTCTTGGGTGTCTGGATCATTAGTTGTTGTTGCATTTTATTCTTTAGTTACATTTATTTATTTATTTATTTGAGAGAAATTATGTGTGTACATAGGCATGGATACCATAGAATGCACATGAAGGTCAAAGAACAGCTTGTGGGAGTTGGTTCTCTCCTTATGGGTCCCAGGGATCAAGCTCAGGCAGTGAGCTTGGCAGCAAGCACCTTTACCCACTGAGCTATCTCACTGTTTTTGAGGCAAGGTTTCACTATATAGCTCAAGTTAGATCTTTCTTTCTGTTCCGCCTACCTAGGACTTAGATTATTGGTGTGCACTGACATGCTTGACGGTTTTGTTTGTTTGTTTGGCTGTTTTCTCTCAAACCCCAGGCTTTGCACATACTAGGCTCTATGGCTGAGCTTCATTCCCTGCTTGAGAGCTAAGATTTCAGCATCATACGGGAGCACACCGACTGTAACATACCTCAGACCCTTCAGAGCCTCCGGGCGGCAGGGCACAGCCATAGATCTTAACACCAGGGTCTACGAAAGAGATCCCAAAGGCATTCGTCATGAGCAACTAAAACAAACAAGTCACCGACACCGTCCCAAGTGCAGAGACACACAGCTGCGCTTGTAAAGACGCTGTGGCCTCAGGGTCGCAGGTGGATGGCAAGTCCACCTTGACCTGTATGCCAGGAGTGTGCTGCATGGACCCAGAGGAAATTATCCCTGTCTCCCGAGGGTTCACTCACAGCTGGGACGGAGCACAGGGAAAGAGGAAACCCGTGTTAAGCGGGGAGTGTAGGGTAGCGCAGCAATGTGGTACTTGCCTGGGATGTGTGAAAACCGTGTTAAGCTGGGAGTGTAGGGTAGCGCAGCAATGTGGTACTTGCCTGGGATGTGTGAAGGCCTGGCTTCCATCCCCAGCACCAAAGTAACAAAAAGGAGGAGGAGGAAATAATGATGTTGAACTATGACTGTGATTCAGGTAAGGTGTGGTTGGAAACCAAACTTTTACACTCCTGGTGACAGTGTGAAGTGTACAATCCTTCCAGAAGTTACTATGCTTTACACCTAAAACCTTAAACTATATGCATGCCACTTGACTCAGCAAGTCTGTTTCCAGGGATATGCAGCTTTCAAAAACATGGTGTAGAGATGGAGAGAGGGCACTTGTTACCCATGCGGGGACGTGGGTGCAGCTCACAACTACCTGTTAACACTCTCTTCTGGCCTCCCAGGGCACTGCACACATGTGGGACACACACAGACTCACCAGGCAAATACACATGGACATAAATTAAATAAAGAAGTCACTTTTTTTCTTTAAGAAAAGGTCTCACTATATAGTTCTTGTTCACTGGACTTCAACTCACAGAAATCTACCTACCTCTGCCTCCCAAAAACATACACACACACATATACACATCATTCAGGAGGCAGAGGCAGGTGGATCTTTGTGAGTTGGAGGCCAGCCTGGTCTACACAGTGAGTTCCAAGACAGCCAAGGCTGTTACACAGAGAAACCTTGTCTCAAGAAGAAAAATAAATGCTGTAGTCAAATGTCATGGCATATCGCTATAATACTAGCACTCAGGAGGCCGAGAGCTCCAGGCAGCCTGAACTTCATACTGCAACCCTGTCTCACAAAACAAAACTAAACAAACAAACCCAAATGAGTGCCGTACCAGTGGCCACAGCCAATAGGCTTACCCGGTTTCTGTCGGCGTGGCTTTCTCTTCACCCGAGGGCCAACACCTTGTCCTTCCTTCCAACCCATTTTTCTTAGGAGTTCAAAGCCAACAGACAGTCTAGACAGGACAGAGAAACACTGACAGTGAATTTCACTGTAATAGGCGACTCCTGATCCAGCACCTCTGCCGGTCCTGTCTGGTTCATGCCGCAGTAACCACACAACGGCAAGGGCCTCTGGGCCAGCCTGGGCTTGGGAGTGCGTCTGTACTAGGAGAGACACACATCTGCCTCTGTGGGCCTGTAGAAACTCTGGGCAGTCCCTGTTAAGGAAGCCTGTGGCCCAGGGATACCAGGAAAGTCTGAAGCTAGCACATTAGGCCACACACCCAGGAGCAGAAGACAAAGTATACAGAAATCAAAAGCTGGGTGACAGCCATGCAGTTTCCTGAGTCTGCCCGCTCAGTCAGGAAAATGTAACTTCTCTCTTCTAGGCTTTCCCTGCACCTTGGGCTTCACCAACATGTTGGGCCTCCTTACTCTTTCTCAAAGGCTCCGCTCCCCACCGCATGCCTGCTCTCCACGCTAGCTTTAAGGGGGTGGCTTTCTCCCCATTCTCTCCTCCAGTCTCCTCTAGGCAGCCACTGGGACTCACACCCTGCTTATGGGAAGGGACTGCATCTTTTAAACTCTAGTGAAATTGTCCTCAAGCTGAAGGTGGTGAGGAAAAAGGAAGATAAGGACGGGGGTGGGGGTGGGGGGATGGGAGGTGGGAAGGGAGTAAGAGTAGAAAGGGGGAGGGGAGAGAAGATGGGGAAGGACGGGAAGGTACAAGAAGGGTTGAACCCACAAGGCCTGTGAGGAAGGTGGGGAAAGGAAGCCACACCAGTTCCTAACAGCGGCTGGCTGGTAGCTGGAGCTCTAGGAGATTGTACTGCAGTGATCACGGAGACATTCTGCGTGAAGCCCCTTCCTCACTTAGACTCCCAGGCAGACAGCATCTGCACCTGTAGCCGAGCTAGCCCTGAGATAGATCACCACACGTGTGCAAAGCACCGATGCCCGGAATGAAACCCTTCTCACTTTGCCGGCGTGATGAGATCATCGAGCAGCGTGGCTCCAGGAATAGGGGCTGCAGCGGCTGCCAGTTGCCTGGCTTTCTCCCGTATTCTGTCTTTGGTTTTGGAAGCAAAATCATCTGTGGTAACGATTGCTTTAGGTGCTATTCCAAATTCACTAAGATCCTCCAAAGAAGAAAAGAAAACAGATTTAGTTCATTTACACACATGCAACAAATGCACTTGTACTAACACACACACACACACACACACACACAAACAACAAAGTTTTAAAGAGATTACTTTACTATAGATATGCAAGAGAGAGAGAGAGAGAGAGAACTCTGGGGACTGGAGAGAAGATTCAGTGGTTCAGAGCACTGGCTGTTCTTCGAGAGGATCTGGGTTCGATCCCAGCACCCATATAGTAACTGACAATTATCTGTAACTGCAGTCCCATGTAATCCAATGCCCTATTCTGATGTGCATACATACACGCAGACAAAACACCTATATGCATTAAATAGATAATAAAAACTTCAAGAGACGAGAGAGAGAGAAGTCAGATATGGTAGCAATTGTCTGTGATCCTACAGGGGAGGCTGAAGCAGGAGGGTTGCAAGTTCAGAGCCAACCTAAGCTACATAGCAAGACTCAGTTGTTCTGTTTTGAAAGGCCTCCTTTTCCTCCTGGTAACGTACAGCTAACTGTTGCATCGTACTTGACTGTGCTCAGGGTTGAATCCATGACTGTGCTCAGGGTTGAATCCATGCCTAGGTTTTAAGGTCACAGGAGTTTGATTTATCCTAGCTCTCAGTTCTGTAAACCATGGGAGGCTTCAGGGTGACTGAGAAAAGCCACAGGCTCAGCACCAAGGATGCTGTTAGGGCAACTGGAGATATTAAGGACATTTGCCAGTATATGACATTCCTGACTTCAGAGACTGTCCCGCTGCACCCAGCACGACACGACTTGAGTGATGGAGAAGTCACTGGTGCAGAGGACACTGCACCGCAAACATCTACAAGCAAAAGCCTCAGGACGAGCAGGAAAGCTTCTGTTGCGCTTTCTGGGCAGAGGGAAGGTGCCACAACCAAGGACACTCGTGTCATTGCCTGACCCACCTCTTCATCCATAAAATCTTCAGGTCCAAGAACAGACCTGTCTGCCCTGTTCTGTCTTGAAGATACAAAGGTAGAAGGTGTCCATCCTGGAAGGAAAGGAATTCTGACCGTTACGATCCTGGATGGTATTTCATCGGCTGTTTGTTTGCTTTTGTTTATTAAGATGGAGTCTAGCCAGCCAGGAGCTCACTCAGTAGACCAGACTAGCCTCAAGTTTGTGGTGTTCCTCCTACATGACAGTTTGAGGACTAGGTATGCCGCTCAGGGATGGAATGCCTGCTTTACCCTGCAGCGAGGTCCTGGGTTCTATTCCCAGCACCTAAATAAGGAATCATTCAGTTAACTGGATGGTGGCACAGGCTTTAATCCTAGCAATTGGGAGGCAGAGACAGGTGGATCTCTGTGAGTTTGAGGCCAGCCTGGTCTACAGAAGGTTTTCCAGGACAGCCAGGACTACACAGAGGAACCCTATCTTAAAAAACCAAAAATAAACAAATGGAAAAAAACTCATTCAAGTTAACTGGGTGGTGGAAAACACCTATAATCTCAGCACTCAGGAGGCAGAGCAAGTGGATCTCTGTGAGTTTAAGACTAGCCTGGTTTACATAGCAAGTTCTGGGTTAACCTGCTCGATATAGTGAAACCCTGTCTCAAAAGAGGGGGGGGAATGGAAGGGGAGGGGAGGAGAGGGGAAGGGAGAGGAGGGAGGAACATGTACTACTTTAAATACAGAATTGATTAGACTATCTAGTGTGACATTTTAATTTCTTTTTCTCCAGGTCATGAGCAGGCAGTAGCCAGTGTGTTACAGTCCTGTGGCAGGTGGTTCCTGGGTAGTTCTGATGTTACTGAGGCTCCTTAACCTCTATGACCCCCAGTTACCTCATCTGCAAAATCCCTGTGACACCTGTCCTTAGTTGCAGAGTCAGAAGCAGTCTCAGAGGCAGTCGTGATTAGCTGAGAGTCTGCTTGAGGGCACTTAGGGCAAAGTCAGAAGAAGTGGAAGTCACCATCTGGTTTAAGTCACTGCTGGAATCTCCCCATTTTCCAAAACGTAGAAGGAAAGCTCTTCACTTCCAAAAGCACTTAGGTCAACTCTGGGAGCGCCCTAGAGGTTCACAAAACACTTCTGTGTTCTATGGTATGTGAACCAGAATGCTTAAACAACTTTATTTTGTAAAGCCAGGAGGGGATCTGGACATGGTAGGCCATGCCTGTCACCCCTGAACACAGGAGGCAGCCTGAGCTACACAAAGCAAACCTTGGAGTGGAAACCTTGAGCCCTAGCAATCATGCCTGAGCGGTCCTCTGGCTTCTGTAGCACCGTACCTTCTTTAGAGCCGACAGTATTGAAGTATCCTGCGGAGAAGCCGCCACTAAAGGCGCCGTGAAAGCGTTTATACCTTCCTTTCTCATCCCTGACAGTCTGGTCCTGAATAGGAACGGGTTTCTTTGGTCTTTCACCTGGAAAACAAATAATGAAAAAAGAGAAGGGGCTATGCTGAGTTAGAGAGAATTTAGGGAAAATGTCACTTCTTAGACATAATGAATTGCTGCTCACTTATAACTCCGTGTATTACCATTGTTATGAAGTTGCCTTGTCTAGACTTTATTAGCTTGTAGTCTATAAAATAAACTGTTCTCTTAAGAAATATGTTGCAGCAAGAATGTCCAAGTTGGGAACTGGGAAGATGGCTCAGGGGAAGAGCACTGGCTGCTCTTGCAGAGGATCTAAGTTCAATTCCCAGCACCCACATGGCAGCTCCTAACCATCAGTAATTCCAGTTTCAGGGGATTTGATGCTTTCTTCTGGCCTCCGCAGCACCAGGTATATGCATAGTATATATACATACACACAGGCAAACCTTCATAAAATAAATAAATCTAAATTTAAAAAAAGGATGCATGTCCAAGCCTGGAGACGGCTTATGAGCAGGGGGCTGCCGTACAAGTGTGAGAACCCCAGCTCAGGTTCCATTCCCAAAACTCACTGTGGGGGTTGGAATGAGAAATGTCCCCCACAGGCTCATGTATTTATTATCTGGTTCCTAGCTGGTAGTGGTGTTTGTGAAGGTTGTGGCATCTTTAAGAGGCATGGCCTTGCCAAGCATGGTGGCACACCCCTTTAATCCAGCACAAGGGAGGCAGAGGCAGGTGGATCTCTCGTGAGTTCAGTGCCAGCCTGGGCTACAGAGCGAGTTCCAGGACAGTCAGAGCTAAACCAGGAAACCCGGTCTAAGGGTGGTAGCGGAGTGGTGGAGGTAGTGGTAGCAGTGGTGTGCCCTTGTGCCCCTGCTGGAGGGACACCACTGGGGACAGGCTTTGAAAGTTTATAATCTCCCCTACTTCCTGCTCACTCCCCGAGCTGTGCTTGCTGTTGAGTCGGCTCTCTCAGCTTCAGGCTTTGGCGGTCTGCTTCCATGCCTCCCTGCCATTATGGACCCTCTCTCTAGAACCCTAAACCCAAATAAGCCCTTCTAGAAGTTGTTTTGGGTCATGGTTCATCACAGTAACAGATGGGCGGCTAATGCACCCACACAAAGTCAGATGCGCTGTCTCGTGTGTGCAATCCCAGCATTCCTCTGCACGCAGGAGGATCCCTGAAAGTCCACAGCCTGGTGCGCATAGGAGCCCCAAAAAAGGAAAGCCTGTCTCACAAGGTGGAGGGCCAAGACCTACACCTGAGGTTATTCTGTCCACCACACTCATGCCAGGGAACACATGTGCTCACACATATAAACATGTGCACACACAGCAAACCAAAGATTAAAAACGTTCTGCTTCTCCTACTAAATTTCATTACAAAATCCAAATCTGGGCTGGAGAGATGGCTCAGTGGGTAGCGTTTGCTGTGCAGGGCCCAGTGCCCGTGTAACAGACAAGGTGGACAACTTTTGAAAGTCGATTTTCTCATTCTACCATATGGGCAAAAATGCCTTAGGCTTCAAGTTTTAGGTGTTATGACACAAGCTGCTGCCTATAACTCCAAAGTTCTGAATTTATTTAAAATGTAAAAGGAATCCAGCTGCAGTGGCATGTACCTGTTGTCCACAAACGTTTGGAACAGGAAGCAGGTTTGTGGTCAGTTAAGGGCATGGTCACAATGTCCCACACTCTCAGAAGCTAACTTCACCCTTCCTCCAGCCCCGTTAGTGCTAAACTGCTCAATGCCTTAGCTGCCCAGCTCTAAAATGGTGGTGTACACCTTTCATCCCTGCACGTGGGAGACTGAGGTAGCGGGATTTCTGTGAGTTTGAGTCCAGCCTGGGCTAATATGAGACCCTGTCTCAAAATACTACGCCACCCCATCCCAATCCCCTACCAAGAAAAAGAAAGAAAGAAAGAAAGAAAGAAAGAAAGAAAGAAAGAGAGAGAGAGAGAGAGAGAGAGGGAGGGAGGGAGGGAGGGAGGGAGGGGGGGGGAGAGAG